ATAATTTTTGCTCTTTTTATTTCTCCTACATTACATTATTTTTAGATTTATTGTGTGTTTATAGAATTTAGTATTAGATTATTAATTAATTTATTAAGGGGTTTAATGGTTTGGATTAATGTTATTTTCAGTTGAGTTATGCACGAATCAGGCCCAATTGTTTTTAGCCCAATTCGGCCGATCCAATCCAATTGTTGGCTTCCCAAGACCCGGATCAAAATGACGTAGTTTCATAATAAAAATACGCCATTTTGTTTAATGAATCAAAGATCCAATCTCATCCATCCATGACCCTCTTGATCCAATGACCACCATTCAATCTCTTTTCTAATATTTAAAACCCAATTTTTTAGATTTTTGGCCCCTATTTTTGCCTTACCTTCTTCTCTCCTCTTTCTCTCTTCACTCTCTCTCACCCTCTCTCTACGCCGCCACCCTTCTCCGCCGCCGGAAATCGCCCACCGGCAGCGGCCCGCCTCCAATCTGCCCCAAAATAGCACCATACAATCACCTCAACCCCCTCTTTCCAAATCTCGAACCCAAATCCTTCAAAACCCGCTCAAATTCCACGATTTTTAGATCTAGAAAATTCCATTTGCCGCCTATTTTCCCCAAATCAAAGAAACTCCGGCCACTACCACCCTACAACACATACATGAATGAATAGAGCTCCGCGAGACCTATCATTTCCTACCCATTTCACCCCCAAAAAATGCACCACCGCCGGCCAGTCACCCCCCGCTGCCGCGACCACCCCAAGGTCACCACTGCCTTATTTTTCTTTAGCCCACTCGACCCATAGACTCACGTTCCCTTCTAGTATGATGCCAAAACTTACTTGTTTTGGGGCGTTTGCTAAAAGGGAACTTGTGTTTCGGGGTCGGACAATCGCCTCTTGGCATCTCCGGCGTCTTCTCGTGGCTCGAACAACTTCAAGCACACTCGTTAGGTATAATCGTCATCTCTTTAATTAATTTCTGATTTTTATATTAGTAGTTTAGTTCCTGATTTTTGAATTTTTTTTCTTTCTGTTTTGGTTGTTTCTTGTTAATTAGAGTTTCAAGTTAGGTTTATTTAATTAGTTATCTCTATTTTTATTTGTTAGGTTATTATTGATTAAACATGATCTTTAGTGTATTAGTTAAATCGTTCACTTAGTTAGTCGATTATTTAGTTATTGTTAGTCATTGTCCGATTGTTAACGATACTCGTTCTGTTTTGAGCATTTAGTTGTTTGTTTAGTAATTAGTTTGCACAAAACGAATTCATTCCAATCAAGTTGGTTTGAATACTTAGTTCGATTATATTTTTAGTCTCGTTTATGCTTTGTCAGTCCATGGTTGTTTAAGTTTGATTTGTGTTGAGCAAGTAGTTCGGTGTTGATGGTTAAAATCTGAAGTTTAAGTTATTTTATCACAAAATAGGATAATAGTTGCCTACTTTTTACTAGTAGGGTGGCTGAAATGATATTTTTTCTCCTTGCTTCTGACATAACAGATTTCCAGGCTGTCTTTTCACCTTTTGGACAGATTTTGAACAGTGTTTAGCACACAAAGTCAGTCTTTTTGATAGACTTTTGGTGAACCAAAAGTTGTCAAAAAATCTGACTTTATTTGCCTATTGAAAGGGCTGCTTCTCTCCTATAAAGGAGACTCTCTTATACTTAGAATACAGATCCTTACTCACTGAAAAGGAACACACACTCTATTACAGATTCTGGGGACATCTTTACACATACACAAAGAAAAAACATTAACTTTTTTTTCGAGAAAAGTGACAAAAATATTTCTTGGCTTTCTTCTGATTTCTTAGCACTTAAGTTTTCCGGGAACTTTAAGTTCAATTGTTGGGACTACTCTGAGTTTTGCTGCTGTTTAAAGGCTGTAACCGAGCTTCATTTCTGTAATTTGTCGAGCTCGCTTTGCTGACATTAAAGCATTGTACTTAGGTATTATTCTCAACCTACAATTTGAGCTTAATTAATATGAATGAATGCTGAAAAGTTTTCACTCCTCTGGTAGTTACTGATATTTCTATTTAAAAATATTGAAAGCTTCGCTAAGGTTCTTCTATTATTCTTTGTTTTCATTCAATGTTAGTATCTTTAGTTAAAGCTTCGCCTTTGATGACTTTACAGGCCTTAGCCGTAGAGCATAGATTGCGATGAATTAAAGCTTGTGGTTCCAATTCCCATCATAAGAAAGAAGTCTTTCGATCGCAAGATAGTTGGAGTCAGCTTTGATAATGTGTCAACAACTAGGCGCCTCAAAATACATCCTCTCAAATTCGGATCAGGAAAGCAAGCAATCGAGAATGAGCCATAATATTTTCTTCAAAGAGCATCAAGATCCAATCTAAGGTCAACACATGCGAGTAGGTCAAGAATCAAGATTTGACTCCACAAGACACATAGATAAGAATTTTGTAACTCTTAGTTTATAGACATATGTAGTTCTCTTCTCTTTTCCTTTTGATGTAAGCAACAAGTAACAATAACAGCAACAACAGTCTTAAGTCTAGTGTCCGGTAGTCCCAGCTACCAAATATTTCTAAAACTACACTGACCTGATTCCTTTATAGCCAGGGATATGTAGGCAACTTCGGAAGCAAGGTTCGGTCATGTTTTTCAAAAATGGTTTCATTGGAGTGATACACGAGCAAAATTAGCTATGGCATTCACTTTCTTTGCACGAAAACTCTTCGTGTTTTCGAGCAAAGAGGGGTAGTTGTAAATATTTAATTTTTGCACTTTTCATTTCTCCTACATTACATTATTTTTAGGTTTATTGTGTGTGTTTATAGAATTTAGTATTAGATTATTAATTTATTTATTAAGGGGTTTAAAGGTTTGGATTAATGCCATTTTCAGTTTTATGCACAAATCAGGCCCAATTTATTTTTGGCCAATTCGGCCGATCTAGTCCAATTGTTGGCTTCCCAAGACCCGAATCAAAACGACGTAGTTTCATAATAAAAATACATCGTTTTGTTTAATGAATCAAAGATCCAATCTCATCTATCCATGACCCTCTTGCTCCAATGACCACCATTCAATCTCTCTTCTAATATTTAAAACCCAATTTTTTAGATTTTTGGCCCCTTTTTTTGCCTTACCTTCTTCTCTCCTCTTTCTCTCTTCACTCTCTCTCACTCTCTCTCTGCGCCGCCACCCTGCTCCGCCGCCGGAAATTGCCCACCGGCAGCGGCCCGCCTCCAATCCGCCCCAAAATAGCACCATACAATCACCTCAACCCCCTATTTCCAAATCTCCAATCCAAATGCCTCAAAACCCGCTCAAATTCCACGATTTTTAGATCTAGGAAACCCCATTTGCCGCCTATTTTCCCAAAATCAAAGAAAATCCGGCCACTACCACCCTACAACACATACATGAATGAATAGAGCTCCGCGAGACTTATCCTTTCTTACCCATTTCACCCCCAAAAAATGCACCACCGCCGGCCAGTCACCCCCCGCTGCCGCGACCACCCCAAGATCACCACTGCCTCATTTTTCTTTAGCCCACTCGACCCAAAGACTCACGTTCCCTTCTAGTATGATGCCAAAACTTACTTGTTTTGGGGCGTTTGCTAAAAGGGAACTTGTGTTTCGGGGCCGGAGAGTCGCCTCTTGGCATCTCCGGCGTCTTCTCGTGGCTCGAACAACTTCAAGCACGCTCGTTAGGTATAATCGTCGTCTCTTTAATTAATTTCTGATTTTTATATTAGTAGTTTAGTTTCTGATTTTTGAATTTTTTTTCTTTTTGTTTTGGTTGTTTCTTGTTAATTAGAGTTTCAAGTTAGGTTTATTTAATTAGTTATCTCTATTTTTATTTGTTAGATTGTTATTGATTAAACATGATCTTTAGTATATTAGTTAAATCGTTCACTTAGTTAGTCGATTATTTAGTTGTTGTTAGTCGTTGTCCGATTGTTAACGATACTCGTTCTGTTTTGAGCATTTAGTTGTTTGTTTAGTAATTAGTTTGCACAAAACGAATTCATTCCAATCAAGTTGGTTTGAATACTTAGTTCGATTATATTTTTAGTCTCGTTTATGCTTTGTCAGTCCATAGTTGTTTAAATTTGATTTGTGTTGAGCAAGTAGTTTGGTGTTGATGGTTAAAATCTGAAGTTTAAGTTATTTTATCACAAAATAGTTTAATTGTAGCCTACTTTTTACCTGTAGGGTGGCTGAAATGATATTTTTTCTCCTTGCTTCTGACATAGCAGATTTTCAGGCTGTCCTTTCACCTTTTGGACAGATTTTGAATAATGTTTAGCACACAAAGTCAGTCTTTTGGACAGACTTTTGGTGAACCAAAATCTGTCAAAAAATCTGACTTTATTTGCCCATTGAAAGTGATAAAATCCACCATTAGAGAGTGGATAATTGAAGCTAAGATTGAATCGAAGGAAGGAGAAGAAGAAGAAGGTTCTGGATAAAATCCAAACTTCAATTACAGAAAATGAGAAAGGAGTACAATGGCTTATCATCCAACACACTGTACACGTGGGAATATATAATTAATTCCTAATCACTAACTAATCAACTAACTCTGCTACTATACACATCTGTCACCTAACTAACTTTGTCACCTTCTAAGCTTTCATTTGTGCAACTGTCACCAGCTGTCACCCTAACCATCTCAACACCCCCCCCCCCTTCAAGCTAGGTGCTATGAAGATATTCAAAACACCTAGCTTGCACATCAGATGGTGATGTTGAACACTTTCAAGTCCTTTAGTCAACAAGTCTGTTGTCTATTCTTCTGTTGGAACATACATAGGTTGAATCAGTTCTTCTTGCACCTTTTCTCTTATAAAGTGACAATCGATCTCTATATGTTTGGTTCGTTCATGAAACACTGGATTGCTTGCTATCTGCATTGCTGCTTTACTGTAAGTGAACAGCTGAATTGGAATAGGCAATTCAACTCCCAATTCTTTGAAAACTCCTAGCATCCAGATCAACTCAGAAACTGTTAGTGCCATGCTCTTCTATTCTGATTCTGCTGAACTCCTTTCTACTGTGCTTTGCTTCTTTGACTTCCATGAGATTAGGGACTTTCCAAACTTTACCAAGTAACATGTTACTGACTTTTTTGAATTTGGACAGCTTGTCCAGTCTGCATCACAGTATGCTCTTAGAGTCATGTCACCATTTGCACTCATGAGAATGCCTAATCCTGGTTCATTCTTAAAGTATCTCACCAATCTGTGTGCTTCCTCCAAGTGCGACTTCTTAGGAGTTTGCATGAATTGGCTTAAAGTCTGTACTGTATAGGCAATATCATGCCTAGTTAATGTTAAGTACAGAAGCTTCCCTATGAGCTTTTGATATCCTTTGACATCTGTGAGTGCTGGATCATCCTTCAAGTTACAATGCGCATCATACTCCACTGTTGTTAACTTCCTATTTTGCTCCATTGGGGTAATTGCAGGTTTAGACCCTGCTAGTCCCAATTATGCTATTAGTTCCACTGTATATTTCCTTTGACACAACAATATGCCTTTCTGGGATCTGCTAACTTCAATCCCCAAGAAGTCTTTCAAAAGGCCCAAGTCCTTAATTCTGAATGCCTTATGAAGTATGGTCTTGTCTTCTTGACTCATATTAGCATCATTTCCTGTAATAAGGAGGTCATCAACATAAACAAGGATGATGACAAGTTTAGCATTCTTTCTCAGAGTGAACAAAGAATGATCATGCTTGCTCTGTACAAAGTCTGCATTTATCAGTGCCTCAGTGAGTTTCAAGTTCCACTGTCTTGACGCTTGTTTGATCTCATACAAGGATTTGTGTAGTCTGCATGCCTTGTTCCCCCCTTGACTACCAAAACCTAGTGGGACATGTATGTAAACTTCCTCTTCAAGATCACCTTGAAGGAAAGCATTGTAGACATCCATCTAATAGAGATTCCACTAGTTCATGGTTGCAAGAGCAATAACCACCCTTAATGTGACCATTTTAACTACTGGAGAGAATGTCCCCTGATAGTCCAGTTCCTCTTGCTGACTATAACCCTTTGCCACTAACCTGGCCTTGAACCTCTCAATCTCCCCATTGAATTTATACTTGATCTTGTACATCCATCTACATCCAATGGGAACCTTGCCTTTGGGTACATCAACTACCTCTCATGTGTTGTTTAAGACAAGAGCATCAATTTCTATTTTCATAGCTTCAAACCATCTAGGGTCCTTTATTGCTTCAACATAATATACAAGCTCTATCTCAGATGTGGCAGCTAGAAATGATTGATATTGTGGTGAGAGAGAAGAATAGTCCAAGTAGTTGGACATAGGATAGATGCAATTGGAGGATGAGCTTGCTTTCCCTGGACAAATATAATCTTTCAGCCATGTTGGTGGTTTTGGATCTCTTAAAGATCTCCTCAGTTGAACTGATGGGACAGTAAGATCAATGATAGGCAATGCATCATGCTGAAGTTTTTCATCAGAGGTATGTTCATTAACTGCTGCTAACTGAGTGTCATAAGCTGGTTCATCAAGTGAAGGCTCAGTTATGGTGGTCGCATCCTGTCCTGCATCATCTCTATTTGTACCCTGAGCTACTACTTGTGCAGGTGCCCTTGAGGTAATCGTCTGAGCATCATTAATCTCTAGAAACAATGGCAAGTCTACACCTTTCTTCATTGTTTGGAAAGGAAAGATGTTCTCCTGGAATGTCACATCTCTACTCACAAAAAATCTCTTGGCCTTAAGATCATACAACCTATAGCCCTTCTGAGAAATTGAGTACCCCATGTGAACTGTTGCTATAGCTCTAGGTAATTATTTGTCAATTTTCTCTGTAACCGTGACATAGCATAGACAACCCATAACCCTTAAATGCAATAGACTTGGCTTGGATTTGTGAAATACCTTAGAAGGAGACATGCCCCCCAAAATTGAGGATGGTATTCTATTTATAAGATAGACAGTTGTTAACACACAGTCACCCCAGAAATGTAATGGAATGCTGCCTTGAAATCTCAATACCCTTGCCACCTCCAGGATGTGCCTATGTCTCCTTTCCACCACTCTATTTTGTTGTGGAGTGTGTGGACAACTGCTCTGATGAAGGACTCCAGAACTTGATAAGAAATCCTTACATTCTTTACTAAAGAATTATGCACCATTATCAGTCCTCAACATTTTAATGGCCTTTCCAAACTGCATATTAACCAGTTTAAAGAATGAATTCAACAAAACAATGGTATCACTTTTCAATTTCATTAGAAATACCCAAATCATCTTGGAATGATCATCTACAAGTGTTAAGAAGTATCTATTACTATTGTATGTTGGAACTCTATATGGACCCCAAATGTCTACATGAACTAATTGAAAAACATCACTTGCTTTACTACTGCTAAGAGGAAAAGGTCTTCGAGTCTGTCTAGCCAAAGGGCATACAGTACAATTATTGAGACTACAACCCAGAAAGTCTTTATTCTTCATAAAATCCAGCTTCTTCATGACTGCTACTGGAATATGTCCAAGCCTTCTATGCAAGGTTCCAACATCAATCTTCACTCATGTTGCAAGACAACCTCTAATCCTTTGTGTTTTCTTGTATTTGTCTGTCTTTATTGGGATTAGGAGATATAAGCCACTTTTCTCCTTACCAATCCCCTTCACTCTCCCAGTGTACAGATCCTAGAAGACACAAATGTTGGGAAAAAGTTCATTGAACATTGTAACTCTCTTGTCAGTTTAGAGACTGACAGTAAGTTATATCTAAATTCAGGCACACACAACACATCATGTATGGTATCATCTCCTGTAAGATTATAACTGCCTTAATAAGTAACAGGAACAGACTTACCATTTGGCAGGCTAATATTACCTCTCCTATGATCAGGTAACTTTACTACATCATCCAATATATTATGATCTGAAGCCATATGATCTGTTGCTCCAGTATCTATAATCCAAGGATCCCTACAATCTTTCAACAGATCTGACGCATCATTACCTGGCATATTAGCTGTGTGCTACTCTGCCTTTTATTTGTTTAGCAACCTCATTATCTGGCCATATTTCTCCTCAGTGAAGAAGTTTGACATTCCTTGAGGCATTTCAGCTTTTCCTTTGTTCATACCATTCTCTTAACCATGACTGCTGTTATTCGTAGCTGTATTTGTTTGCTTATATTGTTGCTGTCTTTTTCCTTTGTATCCAAGTGGATACCCATGTAACTTGTAATAAGTATCCTTTGAGTGACCTTTGAAGTGGCAATACTCACAGTACAAGTCATTTAACCTTTTAAACTTCGACTGATTCCCCCTTGTACTCATGAATACTGTGGATTCATTCATTTTGTTTGCTAAACTAATCTGAGAATTAGACACACAAACTTTCCTTTGATTCTCTTCATTTATTAGAATTACAAAGGCACGACTGACCGAAGGTGATGGATATTGCAACATAAATTCACTTCTAATTGCTTCATATGATTCATTTAATCCCATTAAGAATTGAAAAGGCTTTTGTTGCTCTAAATGTTCAATAAAATCTCCTGTTCCAGCAGTAACTGGGAGTGAGGGTATAAGAGAACCATATTCATCCCATAGTGACTTCAACCTAGAGTGATAAACAGAGATTATAGAGGTACCTTGAGAGATTGTAGCTACTTCTCGCTGGAGATTGTAGACTCTAGAACTATTTACCTTGTTGAATCGATCTTCAAGGTCCAACCAAACCTCATGAGCATTCTCACCATACACGATACCATTTATCAAATCTGAAGATACAATGTTCATGATCCATGTCAACACTGTTGTATTGACTCGCTCCCAGTCCTCGCCCAAATCTTCAGTGAATTGAGATTTTGTGCAACTTCCATCAATAAACCCTAATTTCCTCTTCGCTCGCAACGCAATCACCATAGCTTTGCTCCAGACGGGATAGTTTTCCGTTCCTTTTAGCTGAATTGAGATAATCACATTGCTAGGATTATCCGACTGTTGTAGGCATAGTGGATGTCTAGGGTTGTCGATGTCTAAATTCGCCATTGTTGAGCTTCAGATCAACTTTAAAGAAATATTCGACGACCTAACAGTATCGTCTTCACAAAAAACTAAAAATGAAATTACTCTGTCCTCGATTGATTCACTCTAGCTCTGATACCATGATAAAATCTACCATTAAAGAGTGGAGAATTGAAGCTAAGATTGAATCGAAGGAAGAAGAAGAAGAAGGTTCTGGATAAAATCCAAACTTCAATTACAAAAAATGAGAAAGGAGTACAATGGATTATCAGCCAACACACTGTACACGTGGAAATATATAATTAATTCCTAACCACTAACTAATCAACTAACTCTGCTACTATACACAACTGTCACCTAACTAACTTTGTCACCTTCTAAGCTTTCATTTGTGCAACTGTCACCAGCTGCCACCCTAACCATCTCAACAGAAAGGGCTGTTTTTCTCCTATAAAAGAGACTCTCTTATACTTAGAATACATATCCTTACTCACTGAAAAGGAACACACACTCTATTACAGATTCTGGGGACATCTTTACACACACAAAAAAAATATTAACTTTTTTTTTCCAGAAAAGTGACAAAGATATTTCTTGGCTTTCTTTTAGTTTCTTAGCACTTAAGTTTTTCAGGAACTTTAAGTTCAATTGCTGGGACTACTCTGAGTTTTGTTGTTGTTTAAAGGCTGTAACCGAGCTTCATTTCTGTAATTTGTCGAGCTCGCTTTGCTGACATTAAAGCNGCGGGTAGAAAGGGGGTGTGACAGCTCTGGCGACTCTGCTGGGGAACTCTCAAGAATTCGAGCTTGTACATTGACTTTATTTGGCTTTAATAATTTTTGTATATATTGTGATTTATTTGGGCTTAATGTGTTAGTTGTCCACTTTTTACCGTTTTGATATTGTTGAACTGTACATATAAATTGTATCCTCTCTCGCACCCCTCTGAGTCTTCTTATAGTTAGTTATGTTGTGTTTGCCTACCAGCATCACAAAATTTCCGTCTTGAGATAAAGCCAGTTAGCCTACCAGCTTTTGGTGAAGGATTTAGCCACACATGCTTAGGCGGGAGAGCCGTTAGCTAGCCAGTGCTATTCTACTACTGGTGACGCTTGACGCTCCTCGGCTCGGGTTGTCCGCTCGGATAAGCCAGGTCTAGATACCATCTCCTTTAGGATTTGGAAACTTAGAAGAACAAGCCACAATCAATGAATATCCCTAGTAGGCTACGCTTTATTTGCATCATGTGCATTTGACTTAGTAGCGCTCGACACAGGGGCCGAGTTCTATTTTAGGACAGGTACCTTGTTGAGACCATTATGTCATGTTATGTGCTACTTGTTACATTATTTGTGAGGCTTGCATGTGGACCGACTTTAGCATAAATCAGTTGAACGAACAGAGAAAACATGTTGTGGTCTAGTGCATATG